GTGTTCAGGTTGTTCAGTGGGGATAAGTGTGGTTGCGATGCATTATTTTGCTTCGACACCTGCCACTATTTGCTATCAAGTCAGTGTCGGTAGTCCCAAAGTGGATGACGGCATTAGCCGGTGACTTCTGGGTTGACCGTGTCCCAACCTAGGACATAGGGATTCAATCCAGAATTTTTCGCATAATGAGTGCTGTTCCCAGTAGTACGATTTTCTGCACTTCTTGGGCAGTGTGGTGGCCAGGGAGTTCCTTAAGGTTCTTCTCAGAACCATTCTTCCATATCCACTACTGATTCAGCTTAATGGGTATCCGTATGCTGCGGTGTTTGTTCAGCCTCAGGCTCTGGGGGTTGTAGGTGTTCAGGTTGTTCAGTGGGGATAAGTGTTGGTTGCGATGCATTATTTTGCTTTCGGACACCTGCCACTATCTGCTCAAGCTCAGTGTCGGTAAGCTTCTTGTTCTTAATAATCCACCACCTTGTATTAGCAAGAGTATTTGAGTTGGTGGCTGAAAGGATGTTTGGATTCCTGCCTCGCCAGATCGTGTATGTACCTTTTACTACTCCGCCATCAGCGTTGTTCTCTTTAGCGAAATAATTGGACCACATCACATCCTTGTATTGATCCGTTGTCTACTGGTTTCTTGTTTTTTGGTTGGTTATTTTTGCGATGGTGGACTGTGCCTGCGGTGTTGGTGCTGCTTCAGTTAAGATGCTTAACTTGAGATTGGACCTCGGTCTGGTTGCTATCTGAAGCTTGGCTATTAAGGTTTGCCGACTCAATATCCGATTGTTCGACCTCAGCTTGTTCGGCGATCACTGAGGGACGCGCTCCCTGTTGACCCGCGCGACGAGCGATGCGGTATGACTTTCGTATTGGCTTATTCATCATGGTATGATATTTACTGTTTAACCTATAGTTAGGGCAAACTTTCCTGGACATCAGGGCACGTCCATTCGTCCGTGGGCCATTTTTATCAAGACACCATCTCTTGGGGGTTGCCGTTCAAGGCTAAAGAGTCCCTCCTACCCATGAGACCGACTTGCCGCCGTCGGACGCCAACCCGATACTTCAAAGTCTCGGTGAGAGCTAATAGGTACTACACCTTGCTCAAGGGTGACCTGGAGGTAGTTGTGGCAAAGGGTAACCTCATTCTCCCACGTTGAGACTCCACAACCGGATGCAGTTTAAAGTCATACCCAGGACAATTATTATTATTATTAGTCTGGCGGCGATGCGCACCTCGCTGTAATATACAAAACATACGATCAGGAGTAAATGTAAACAAATTTGTTTTTAATGAACATATTCGTTTTTTTAGATTCACGGCGAGGTACAGTGCTGACATCTAGCGCTCATCACAACTCGAGGCGACCTCTAGTGTGCGATGGAGAATCCGGCATTCTACCGAGCGCAGAGCAACGTAAGTTGTGCGCACAACAACATGGCCGCTGCGTGTTTCTCTGTCGCCAAGGAGACGTAGCTAAAAATAGCAAATGTTATTAGGCAAACGATGAATCATATACATGGGCCGAGATGGAGCGAGTTCTTCAGATTCCCGCGCAAAAACCCAGTCCCCGAATAGCAATATTCTTCCTTTTCCAATTTCTGACCACGCTATGTTCATTACATATCCTATGTGTTACACGGATTGTGCTCACGGACAATGCGCAAATTCTTCGGATTCAAATTCGGATGCAAAAAGGATTCTTTACGTCCCTGGTAACCTTGCTTAGCAGCATAGTCGCGTGAAATCAAATAGCTTCCAAACAAATGCATTTACCCGTTCGGTGGACATAGAACCAATCATGCAATCAGCCGTCAAACAATCAGACTTTGATCAGATCAAACAATCATCCCTTTTTCACTGTGCGTAGACAACCAGTTTTGTGTTGGAAACTATTTGCCGTGGGTGTTAACGGTGAATCAACCAGCCACCAAACAAGCAAACTTCCCCTTCACTCGTTCGCCATATACACACAAGCAGTCACAAAACAAGCAATAATCATCCTTTACTCTTTCGCTATATAATATAAGCGCACCAAGCTTCCAAACGGACATAGATACCCTCTGGCCATACATAGACACAACCAGCCACCAAACAAGCAAACTTTAACCTTCATTCTAACGTTCAACCTTCATTCCTTCCTTCACCCTTCACTGTATATTATGAATTCACTACATACACACAACTAGCTTCCAAAGAAACAGATACCCGCTAGCCAGACATAGAATCAACCAGCTGCTAAACAACCAGCCTATAGTTCAATAGACGTAGAGCAAATCCCACCAGTCGACCAGGGGTATATATGTGCCCGCATGGGCGCAAATATGGCTGTTATTACATTCCCACCAGCACATCGCTGCAGCTCATACTCATTTGAACATCGGCACCACCAACCAGCACACACACACACACACACACACACACACACACACACACACACACACACACACACACAACACTGCTCTCCTCCTCTCTACCCAGTCAGCTTTTACG